GAACTTTCTTCCTCTGTCTTGTGCGTGCCATATCCTTTTCTGCTAACCAAGCCTCTTCTCAAAGTCAGATGAAATAGTGCAAATACCTCACAAGTGACAATTGTTTGCATTTGGAACATGAATTCAATTCTAAATCACAAAGAGCATTCTTACATTAAGCAACAGCAATACAGAAGTCATAAAGGTAAGGGTTCCAAAAAAAAATACCCAGCACAATACATAAGAGGGGAAATGAAAGCCTTTTGCAGCTAAACGAAATGTTTCTTTCTCGTCGAGTATTACCAAGCATCCAATTGTTTCAGAAGACTAAAAGTTGACTCGTTTCTTTTCTAGTCCAGCCATTTGGAAATGAGAAGAACAATCGCCGAGTGTTTGAAACACCAACAAGACAATAATTTTACACTTATGAAAATGGTATCAAGTACCAGAAATCAAATGTAATATAATTTTCTAGTACATTGTGACAGCGAGATACTCCAACCTTTCATTTTTCCCCTTTCCCTTTTAAATTGGTTTAATTCAACGCCTCTCTATAACTTCGCTTGTGCATCACATATGGTAGCTAGGATTTACATCTGATTTTTATTGTCTTCAGTTCATATTCAATCGACAGGGAGCGGAAACGGAATTCAATATCTACGAAATTTTCTACTCCCATTATCTTCATTTTACAGAAAGGAATCATAAGCAAATGAAAAACATACTCGGAAAAAAAAAAAAAAAAACTTTGCTCTTTAGTCAGTAATAGCTAATTTCAAAACCTATTTCCATTCCTTCCCAAAATTAAGTACTATATTGAGTTAGACAAGAAAATCACCCGACAAAACTGAAACAACCGGAGATTACAGAAAAGACAACATAAAAATCACAAAAAACTATTATTCGGCCCCAAATAACCATTAATTGCAAATACAATAATAATAATAATAATAATAATAATAATAATAATAATAATAATAATAATAATAATTGAGTAAAAGTTGTACAAATGACCTCGAATTGATGCTTGGTCAAGTAGATCGAAAGAGAGATTTGATATTAGCAAGAGATAATTGGCGCAGATTTCAGCAAATTGATTTCGGTGAATCGAGGAAGACGATGTTTCTGTGCGGGCTGGGATGAGAAGTGTAAAGATACATATTGGGCCCAAATTAAAAAACAATAGATTTGATGTGAAGGAAAATATATATATATATATACATATTTTTTTTTTTTTAATTTTTTTGTACCCATCAATACACGCAAATATATTGCCTATGAAATTTAGGTTATTCGACTTGTACAAGCTTACCGCCTCCTTAGGTGAGATGGATCATTCTTGCTGTAGCACAGCCCGTGCAATTAAATTTCACCTTTAAAGGCGCTATCAAGTTAAACCCGTCAAATCAAAATAGAAACCATAAATGAGGTACAGAGAAAAAGGATTAAACTTCCCATACGAACGAAGTTATGGGGCTTTCTTAGCATATATATAGTTCGTTCATGTTTTAAGTACCTTTTTACTTTTTATGTGCAATTGAAGCAATCTCGAGGCTTTTTTTTTTTAAAGAAAAAGGAAAAATATACAAGGGAACCGCGGCTTTAAAAAAGTAGTCTTTTTACTTCTAAACATAATTATGAAATTCATTTTTGAATATTCCTTATTTGTTTTCCTTTAAAAAATGTCTTTAATTCTCATATTCATTTTCAATCACATATTTTCCAAAAAAAAAAAAAAAAATCCCTACTTTTTAACAATACATTCAAGAAAAATCAATATCTAAAATTTGATTGTATTACATATATATAATAGGATTATATAATGGTATACATACACATGATATTGTGAGACGTGATTGGACTAGAATTTTTTCACACAAATAGAAAAAAAATTTCATTCTTCTTTGGGCACCTCATCTATTAAATGAGTATATACAAGTAGCATTATTCTTTAAATTATCATTATTTTTTCACAACTGTCAAATTAGAATAGAAACCATAAACGAGGTACATGAAAAAAGGATTAAACTTCACATACGAAACAAGTTATTATGCTTTCTTAGCATATATATAGTTCATTCGTGTTTTAAGTACCTTTTTACTTTTTATGTGCAATTGAAGCAATCTTGAGTTTTTTAAAAAAAAGGAAAAATATAAAAGGAAACCACGGGTTTAAAAAAGTAACGCTTTTACTTCTAAACATAATTATGAAATTCATTTTTGAATATTCCCTATTTGTTTTTCGTTTTTTTTTTTTTAAAAAAAATCTCTTTGATTCTCATATTTATTTTCAATGACATATTTAAAAAAAAAAAAGAAAAAAAAAGAAAAGAGAAACTCAAAATTTTTTCCTACTTTTTAACAACACATTCTACAAAAAATCAATATTTAAAATATGATTGTATTACATATAAATAATAGGATTACATAATGGTATACATACACATGATATTGTGAGACATGATTGGACTAGAATTTTTTCAATCAAATAGAAAAATAAAAACTTTCATTCCTCTTTTGACTACTCATCTCTTAACTGATTATATATAAGAAGCATTATTCTTTAAAATCATTTTTTTCCCTCAATAATAGTAATCAAACAAGGGTTAAGTAATTTTCATTCATCACAACATGAAAAAGGGGCATTCCGAGAATCGAACTCGGGACCTCTCGCACCCAAAGCGAGAATCATACCACTAGACCAAATGCCCATCGATGCTACGCTGCTTCCATTTATCTATCTATCCAGTCTTTTAATAAATTATTATTATGACTGAATTCTTAGTTCTAGTTGCGAATTTATTTTAAATGAAAGACAAAGTACTAATACTGGTGGCAAGCAAGAGAGAATAAATTCGTGCCATTTCGAAGAAAATGTGTCACCTCTTGAAATATATATGTCGGAAATTATAACTTCAATAGCTAAAACAAGAAACATATATAATTATATACTAATCCTCATGCAATTTTTGTCTCTTTCAAATAAACAACTAGACATAAAAACTGATTAAATGTTTTTGATGGATGACGATTATGGCCAATGATTTCATAAATTTCACAAAATACTCTTATTATATAGACTTGTTATTGTATCAATTTACATACGAAACACTAACAGATGAATTAAAGCATGTACAAGACCCCGAATCGAATTCAAAATCAATCATTCTCTGTGCCATGTCCTGTATCGAACATATGCCTAGACGAAAAAATCGATAAAACCAACCAACTCGAACCAACACGGGTCGGTTCGACATAGATAATTAGTTTGGTTTGATTTTCTTTTCTTTTGAACAAAATCATGGTAGTCGGTTCAATTATGGTTTGAAGTCTCAAACTGTTGGTTAATCAAATTAATCCAACCCACTTACACGTGTATTTTTATTTTTAATTTCAGAAAAATAAAAATCAAAAGATGAGCCCTAATCTTGTAATTATATTTCGATTCCTTCAATATATGATATTGTCGGTAAATAATAGCATTGTGAATTTTTTTTCACATGCTCATTATGTTATGCTTAACATTTTTTTTTACTCAGACAGTTAAATTATATAATATATAAAAAAATCAACAAAATTCTTAAGTTTTCCGTTGATCCGATTCTATTAACCTGATTTTATTTATTAGTTATTAGTTATCGTAATATAAACTTATTTGGTTATTTTAGTTCTTGTAATCTAAGTATGCTCAAAATTAAGACAATTAATTTTTAAAAAATAAAATTTGAATTAAAAGTCCAAACCGATTAACTAAACCGATTTAGTTTCATTCAATTTGATTTTAAGAGCTAGAGTGGTTTAACTTGGGTTGAAATTCGTTCAAATCGATTAATTTAGTTTTATTTTGGATTGGAGTCGAAATAGATCCAAATCAAATTGCGTCCAAACCTAACCAAACGTACTCCTCTTCCCATATGGCAAGGCGAATCTTCAATAGTGAAATAATAGCTAATATTATTGAAATGTGTACTTATAATATTATCATATACATTATCATCTGACATTCCACCAATAAACATACGTGTGTACTGATTGTTTCGAATTTGTCGACCTGATTAGGGGAGTAGGCAGAGCCGGTCCTGGGCACAGACAAATGAGGCCCGTGCCTCAAGTCCAAACCCACAAAGGGTCTATTTTGGCCCAAAGTTTTTATTTTTTATATTTTTTATATTGAAAGAAAGAAAATAGTTTTTTCATTAATTTTGAGATGATTAAGATATTTGTTTGTTGTTTTAATTTTAAGTTTTAAGTTAATAATGTGTTGCATAATATATCGTCGAATTTTGCATTTACGTTCATTTTGGAGGGCCTAATTTTTGGACTTCGCCTCGGACCCCGACAATCACATGACCGGCCCTGGGAGTAGGTGACGCACAATTCATCTCTCATGAATTTTAGAAGTGTGTTATATTTTGTTAGAAATATTAGTAGACGAGGAACTCTAAACAGATTACAATTCTCTCAAAAATAAAGAGAGTTCAGCTGCAGTTATTATACTCCACCGCACCCTCGTTCTGTTATGACTTCCTCACCAGCCAAGGTGATCATCCTCTAAAATGGCTCCATCTTCACCCACAAATTCTAATGGGTAAATGCAGAAATTCCGTTATTTCGTCATATACTGTAGATTGGATTTTTCCATTTCTATAAACCATAGAGCCCATGTATGTGAGAAAATATTTGATTTTTTTAAGTTCTGATGGTACGTCGGGTTTTTCTCCTTGAGTTTGTTTATTTCGGTTTGATGATTTTGTCCACCGTATGCGCAAAAGGGTATATCTGTTGTTATTCTCGGAAAAAAATGGATTGTTTTCATGTTTTCGATTGTTTCTAAATTGGGATTAAGTTAGTAGTGTTGTAATTGTAATGATGCTTTAAATCTAAATTTTTTTCTTATTTATAATCATATATTTCTCATTGATTTAACATGAATAATATATTTTTTAGATAGAATGTGGCTCATACATGGATTTGATACAATAAAGTCACAGTTATAAATTAAATAGTCCCAAATTTAACCCTAACCAAATCTTCTCCCAATGAATAATTTTAGGTTGGCGTGCTTGAGAGCAATATAATAAGTGTCAGTGGAGTAGGCTTTATGGTTTTTTTCCCATTTGAGTACGTCGTCTTGCGTATTGAAATTCATCCAAAGGTAGAAGAAGACTATTTTTTTTTATTTTTTTTATTTTTTAAACTGGGTACTTGGTTGGGCTATGCTTATTGCAACTCTTGGATTCGTTTCTAATTTTCATTGTTCTATATGGAATTTTACATTGTGCTAGCTTTGAATAGAATATGTTATGTGGATTTGGCTGAAAAAATGTTCCACGAGGAGTAATAGTGTTGAATCAATGAATTTTTTGTTGCTAATCTTAGGTAATCTGTTGGAATCCATCATTTCCTTATGCAGAGGATAGAATTTTGACAGTTCATTAGCTTTGGGTAGAAGAATACCTTGTGATTAATGTATTATTTTTCTATTTTATGTCTGTAGTGATGTAAATTTTGATTTAGTGTGTAAAGACTGAGCATTTTTGTAAATATTTATTGATATGTTAATATTTATGCGATCTAGGGTTTTGTTCGTTCTTTTGGTGTATGATTTTTATTTTTATTTTTATTTTTTTGGTGCCCCGCTGTTTCACAGATTGTTAAAGAAGTTCTTCGTAACACATAATGCCCAGGTATATCTTTCTCTTTTCTTATTCTTTTTATAATATATCTGAATTTAGAGTCATCGAATTTCAATCTTTGATGTATTTGTTTATGTCTTCAGGTATTATTGTGATTATTGTGACACCTACTTGACACACGATTCCGTGAGTCATCATCCTTCTTCTGTAATTGTTTATATTTTTTCATTAAGTTTTTTGCGAAAACTTGAAATTTATCCATGGAAAAAGAAAGAAGATAGTGATGCTATAGGTCCAATAATGCTTAATTTTTTGTCACATTCAAAAATCTTCTCTATTAATTTTCTGTTATTATTGCTTCTGAAAATGTAAATGTCTTAATTTTATTCCTTTTCTTTCTCCTCTTGATTATTTAGTCATTGTGAGATTACTTTTTCAAAGAACTATCTGGGTTATTTCTCACATTTTTATCATTTATCTGATATTTGATGTTTTTTAAAGTCTTTCACTTTCATAATTGCTTATTTTTTGAAATTTTTTGGGTGTACAGCCTTCTGTTAGAAAACAACATAACGCGGGATACAAACATAAGGTATTCTCACTTTAACTTCAACCCGCCCCCAACTTCGTCTTATTTCTTGCTTGAAGGTTTATGTAAAAGTCATTTTATACATTTCGAGCAGGCAAATGTGCGTACTTATTATCAACAATATGAGGCACAATTGAACCAAAGTTTGATTGATCAAAAGGTCAAGGAGCATCTTGGGGCATTTAGGCCTCCTGTTGCTCCATACCCTCAGATGAGACCTGGTCTACCAATTCTACCTACTCCAATGCCGATTCCAGGGGCTCAGTTTCCAGGTTTTAGGCCTCCAGTTTTGCCAAGGCCCATGCTTGGAGCTCCTGGTATGTGAAATGTTTTAATGTGATCCCAGCCTTTTTCCCCTTAAATTTTTCATCTTTTCTTGCTTATGCTCAGCTGATATTTGATCGAAGCATATGTCCCAGGAAGTTGGCATTTATATGAGTTTTTGTCTTCTAGATAATCTACGTATCTTAGAATCAAGAACGCAAAACACTGCAAGATCAGGGACTTGAATCAGTGTAGGGATTGTTGTATGCTTATCAATGGGTTTGGGGAGGGAATATCAGGTGCTAAGAAATGGAGGTGTTAGCCAATAGATTTCTCTGAGACGTTGTTTGGCTAAAGCTCAAAAGAAGTAAATGTTACTCTGAAATACCTTTTATATCCAATTATGTGTGAATACAGTACTTTCCTTTTTAAAAAAGTAAGTTAATTTTGAAAGTAACTCTTGCTTAACTGTCAATATAAGTAACTTATTTTCAACTTTGACCCATAAAAACGTTATTTATTGAGGACATGACTAAACTTTCAGGCTTAGCCAAACATGCTCTTAATCTGGCAAGTGCTTCATTGCTTCTCTAGAACTTTGTATTTACGTCTTCATGTCGCCAGGTTATATGGCTCCTCCACCTGGTCAAGCAAATGGTTTTCAAATGCCCGCAAGTGCTCCTCCTCCGACGGTTTCTGGAAGTGCGGGAATGCCTACTAGTGGTGCCCCACCAATGTTTACTCCCCAAATGTATCCAGGGAATGCCTCTGTACAAACAACTGGAGGCATTGATGGTTCTAATACGGATGCTCAAGCTCCCGAGACTGATCAGTAATAGGATACTTGTGCAAGGAATTTAGTGGTCCCATAAAGATGGCCTTTGTTCTTATAGGCCCGTAGACGATTGCTGAAATCATTATTTGAGAGAGGCTTTGGAACTGTTAAAGATGTACTGTGATCTGTAATGTTTCCTTGAAATGAATGTGTGAACTTTTGAATCTAACTCGTTTCGTCAACACAAATTAACAGTAGCATATAGGTTAGAGGGAGAAAAAGCACGAAGTCAAACTTCGTTTGCTTATTATAGGATACATATCAAACAAGAAAACACCAGTCATACACGCTCATCCTTTTCTTTTTTCCCTTGTTACCATAAATATTGAAGTGTTTTTAGTCTCTCAATATAACCTACTTTTAGAGATCTACTATACGCATTTTCAAAGGGTATTTGCAACAAAACGAAATGGATACAAATAATTTATGCTGGCAACTCCAACTTTATTAAGATAAAACTTGGTTTAAATAATTTGTGCTGCCCACTCCAACTTTATTAAGAATAAAACTTGGTTTCTTGGTACCATCAACAACGAAAAACTACAGTTTTCTCGAAAAGTACCTGTTTTTTGCAATGAAAACTCTAGTGTATGGATCTGCAGCACTAAAAGAACCCGATATCAGTTAAATAACAGCCACACCAAGATATTTTTGATGCCCTCCGGCAACATTGGTCTTAAACCAGATTTCTCTATCCATCAAACATTGGAAGAACAAAATCATTCACTGCTGATTGAGATGCAAAAGACCAATAATATTCGTTGATAGTAGAGAAGACGACATACATTAGCTAAAAATGTTACTTGAAGTGTTAGAAATGTACTCTTTACTCTTGGAACTTCCATCCTGAATTAAGACTGATTACAAATACATGGAAATAAAGCAAACTGATAGAACATCTCAGATTGAACAGAAAGGATAGATTTAATCCTGACGGGAAGGAAAGTAGTGCTTTGGAATTGATTCAGACAAGAACAGACCCACAAGACTAATCAATCAGCATGCAAAATCTTAGCATAAGAAGTACGCCACATCCTCTCAAAAGTTGATCAAGCATTCTTCTCCTAGACAGGTTTTAGGAGTCTAGACTCCAAGTACACAAAAATAAAGTAAAATAAAGAGAATTTATGCAGAGTTACAACTCTTTTGTTAAATCTTGATCCGCACAGGAAAGCTTGAGAGTGCAGGATGTACCCGTTAAAAGCATAATTTTATGAAGGTAACGAGATGAGTGCAGAGATTCATTCAGCGGCGTGTGACAGAGGGTCCTCCAAAAGAATAGCGGTTTGAGACTGTTGTGGACATGTATTTGGTCTCGCCGCCAAGGAGGTGGTATCTCTGATTGTATTCAGATGGTTCCAGGGAAGCTTGTGTCAAAAGCGGTCTTTGATTGTATTCAGAAAGTTCACGAGGAGCATATGATGTATATGATCTTTCTTCATCAGGAATTATTCTTCCCAGATGAGTTGCTGATCCACTTGTGGAGTTTAGATAATTTCTAGGAGGATGTAATCTGGCAGGTGGTGTTGTTGTCGTTGGTGGCAGCGAAAGATATCGATTTACCAATGATGTGGTGCTTTCATTATAAAGATTATATGCCACTTCAACAGCTTGATTAGTACTTACCATAGGAGACACCTCAGTCTGCATTTCACGGGGACCTCTGAGCCCATAAGTGCGGTACTCTTTTTCACTGAGAAAAAAAGTATCAGGTCGACTGACCTCTCTCTGTTGTAAAGTTACATTGTTATATGTAGAAGCAGGGTTCCTTAGAAGCTGATCCTTCTCTTGTTCAAGATTTCTAGGCTCCCGTGCACGGGCAACGGCAACGGTACCACCTACAGCGGTTGGCAACAGATCACTTCCCTGTCGAAGACCATAATTTCTGTATTCTTGCTCTGTGAGAAAAAGTGGACCCTGTGAAGGAACATCAGTGGAAGAGACATGGTGCTCAGAGAATTTCCTCTCTTTATCAACCCAGATAATGTCTTCTCCTGGTTTAATACTGCCATGATGTCTGAAGTTCTCCTCAGTGTGCAAAATTGCTGTTGGCAAGACTTTTGGTGCTGGAGCAGGAACATGCACAAATTCCGATCCCCGAACCAAAGACTTACCATTTGAATGCAACTTTGGGGTTGGCTGGAATAAACTTGACAGGTGCTTTACCTGCAAGGAAGAGAAACAGCGGTTGGGAATATTTGTAGTTAGAATTCCACAAATACACATTTTGAAAATATAAAACTACTGATGAATGAAAAGAAAAGGTTATCTTCTTACTTGGGACGAGGTTAACTCTGTCTTGAACTTGCGAGTCCTTTCATCATAATTGTCTTTGATTGCTTTCTTAAATATATTCTCAGGCAGCGGAAGGCAATCCCTATGAACAGCGAAGCGGACCTGTTGAATGAAAAACTATAATTATAAAAATATCCTCAGGTTAAATGGATATAAAACAGAGTTAAGGCATCTAGAGATAGCAACCTGAGCAGGGAAGGCCCCCCCAAATGCAGCTGGTTCAAGTTTCATGCCACCAGAAGAAGATGCTTCATAGATTCCATACAGGAGCTTGAGATCAAAATCATAGAGGAAAAGCTTAAGACCAGGCTTTATGCCCATTACAAACTCTTTCCGGCTTGCTGAGATACCCATCACATGGTAACGGAAACAATCTGGTTTAGTTTTGGTATTACACATAAAAATCAGTCCACCAAGATTTTTCCCGGGCTTCTCATCTTCATTTTTCTCATTTAAAATACCCCTTTTCTCTTTCCCATGAGGTGAACTTGCATCATTTGTTCCATCTTTTTTATTACTATTATTTTCTTCTACTCCTTCATTTGTTCTCTTCCTTTTATTGCCTTTTATGGCTTGAACCTCTGAAATGGTTTTTGCTTCTTCGCCTGGGGCAGAATTTGGAATTGGACATTTGCCTGCAATCTGAGGATTGGGCTCAAGAGCCCTGGGAGCCTTCTCATCAGAAACTACTGATACTGAAGTAGATCCCACAGCAATTCCACCTTTTCTCTCGTCTTCCAATGGTTTTTTGTTAGACACTATTTGTTTAGATTTGGTGGCTTTGCCACCTTTTTTCTTGTTATTCGGCATTTTGTTGTTCAAAACCACCTCTCTAGAAGTAGATTCAGCAGCAACACGAACTTTCTTCCTCTGTCTTGTGCGTGCCATATCCTTTTCTGCTAACCAAGCCTCTTCTCAAAGTCAGATGAAATAGTGCAAATACCTCACAAGTGACAATTGTTTGCATTTGGAACATGAATTCAATTCTAAATCACAAAGAGCATTCTTACATTAAGCAACAGCAATACAGAAGTCATAAAGGTAAGGGTTCCAAAAAAAAATACCCAGCACAATACATAAGAGGGGAAATGAAAGCCTTTTGCAGCTAAACGAAATGTTTCTTTCTCGTCGAGTATTACCAAGCATCCAATTGTTTCAGAAGACTAAAAGTTGACTCGTTTCTTTTCTAGTCCAGCCATTTGGAAATGAGAAGAACAATCGCCGAGTGTTTGAAACACCAACAAGACAATAATTTTACACTTATGAAAATGGTATCAAGTACCAGAAATCAAATGTAATATAATTTTCTAGTACATTGTGACAGCGAGATACTCCTACCTTTCATTTTTCCCCTTTCCCTTTTAAATTGGTTTAATTCAACGCCTCTCTATAACTTCGCTTGTGCATCACATATGGTAGCTAGGATTTACATCTGATTTTTATTGTCTTCAGTTCATATTCAATCGACAGGGAGCGGAAACGGAATTCAATATCTACGAAATTTTCTACTCCCATTATCTTCATTTTACAGAAAGGAATCATAAGCAAATGAAAAACATACTCGGAAAAAAAAAAAAAAAACTTTGCTCTTTAGTCAGTAATAGCTAATTTCAAAACCTATTTCCATTCCTTCCCAAAATTAAGTACTATATTGAGTTAGACAAGAAAATCACCCGACAAAACTGAAACAACCGGAGATTACAGAAAAGACAACATAAAAATCACAAAAAACTATTATTCGGCCCCAAATAACCATTAATTGCAAATACAATAATAATAATAATAATAATAATAATAATAATAATAATAATAATAATAATAATAATTGAGTAAAAGTTGTACAAATGACCTCGAATTGATGCTTGGTCAAGTAGATCGAAAGAGAGATTTGATATTAGCAAGAGATAATTGGCGCAGATTTCAGCAAATTGATTTCGGTGAATCGAGGAAGACGATGTTTCTGTGCGGGCTGGGATGAGAAGTGTAAAGATACATATTGGGCCCAAATTAAAAAACAATAGATTTGATGTGAAGGAAAATATATATATATATATACATATTTTTTTTTTTTTAATTTTTTTGTACCCATCAATACACGCAAATATATTGCCTATGAAATTTAGGTTATTCGACTTGTACAAGCTTACCGCCTCCTTAGGTGAGATGGATCATTCTTGCTGTAGCACAGCCCGTGCAATTAAATTTCACCTTTAAAGGCGCTATCAAGTTAAACCCGTCAAATCAAAATAGAAACCATAAATGAGGTACAGAGAAAAAGGATTAAACTTCCCATACGAACGAAGTTATGGGGCTTTCTTAGCATATATATAGTTCGTTCATGTTTTAAGTACCTTTTTACTTTTTATGTGCAATTGAAGCAATCTCGAGGCTTTTTTTTTTTTTTAAAGAAAAAGGAAAAATATACAAGGGAACCGCGGCTTTAAAAAAGTAGTCTTTTTACTTCTAAACATAATTATGAAATTCATTTTTGAATATTCCTTATTTGTTTTCCTTTAAAAAATGTCTTTAATTCTCATATTCATTTTCAATCACATATTTTCCAAAAAAAAAAAAAAAAATCCCTACTTTTTAACAATACATTCAAGAAAAATCAATATCTAAAATTTGATTGTATTACATATATATAATAGGATTATATAATGGTATACATACACATGATATTGTGAGACGTGATTGGACTAGAATTTTTTCACACAAATAGAAAAAAAATTTCATTCTTCTTTGGGCACCTCATCTATTAAATGAGTATATACAAGTAGCATTATTCTTTAAATTATCATTATTTCTTCACAACTGTCAAATTAGAATAGAAACCATAAACGAGGTACATGAAAAAAGGATTAAACTTCACATACGAAACAAGTTATTATGCTTTCTTAGCATATATATAGTTCATTCATGTTTTAAGTACCTTTTTACTTTTTATGTGCAATTGAAGCAATCTTGAGTTTTTTAAAAAAAAGGAAAAATATAAAAGGAAACCACGGGTTTAAAAAAGTAACGCTTTTACTTCTAAACATAATTATGAAATTCATTTTTGAATATTCCCTATTTGTTTTTCGTTTTTTTTTTTTTAAAAAAAATCTCTTTGATTCTCATATTTATTTTCAATAACATATTTAAAAAAAAAAAGAAAAAAAAAGAAAAGAGAAACTCAAAATTTTTTCCTACTTTTTAACAACACATTCTACAAAAAATCAATATTTAAAATATGATTGTATTACATATAAATAATAGGATTACATAATGGTATACATACACATGATATTGTGAGACATGATTGGACTAGAATTTTTTCAATCAAATAGAAAAATAAAAACTTTCATTCCTCTTTTGACTACTCATCTCTTAACTGATTATATATAAGAAGCATTATTCTTTAAAATCATTTTTTTCCCTCAATAATAGTAATCAAACAAGGGTTAAGTAATTTTCATTCATCACAACATGAAAAAGGGGCATTCCGAGAATCGAACTCGGGACCTCTCGCACCCAAAGCGAGAATCATACCACTAGACCAAATGCCCATCGATGCTACGCTGCTTCCATTTATCTATCTATCCAGTCTTTTAATAAATTATTATTATGACTGAATTCTTAGTTCTAGTTGCGAATTTATTTTAAATGAAAGACAAAGTACTAATACTGGTGGCAAGCAAGAGAGAATAAATTCGTGCCATTTCGAAGAAAATGTGTCACCTCTTGAAATATATATGTCGGAAATTATAACTTCAATAGCTAAAACAAGAAACATATATAATTATATACTAATCCTCATGCAATTTTTGTCTCTTTCAAATAAACAACTAGACATAAAAACTGATTAAATGTTTTTGATGGATGACGATTATGGCCAATGATTTCATAAATTTCACAAAATACTCTTATTATATAGACTTGTTATTGTATCAATTTACATACGAAACACTAACAGATGAATTAAAGCATGTACAAGACCCCGAATCGAATTCAAAATCAATCATTCTCTGTGCCATGTCCTGTATCGAACATATGCCTAGACGAAAAAATCGATAAAACCAACCAACTCGAACCAACACGGGTCGGTTCGACATAGATAATTAGTTTGGTTTGATTTTCTTTTCTTTTGAACAAAATCATGGTAGTCGGTTCAATTATGGTTTGAAGTCTCAAACTGTTGGTTAATCAAATTAATCCAACCCACTTACACGTGTATTTTTATTTTTAATTTCAGAAAAATAAAAATCAAAAGATGAGCCCTAATCTTGTAATTATATTTCGATTCCTTCAATATATGATATTGTCGGTAAATAATAGCATTGTGAATTTTTTTTCACATGCTCATTATGTTATGCTTAACATTTTTTTTTACTCAGACAGTTAAATTATATAATATATAAAAAAATCAACAAAATTCTTAAGTTTTCCGTTGATCCGATTCTATTAACCTGATTTTATTTATTAGTTATTAGTTATCGTAATATAAACTTATTTGGTTATTTTAGTTCTTGTAATCTAAGTATGCTCAAAATTAAGACAATTAATTTTTAAAAAATAAAATTTGAATTAAAAGTCCAAACCGATTAACTAAACCGATTTAGTTTCATTCAATTTGATTTTAAGAGCTAGAGTGGTTTAACTTGGGTTGAAATTCGTTCAAATCGATTAATTTAGTTTTATTTTGGATTGGAGTCGAAATAGATCCAAATCAAATTGCGTCCAAACCTAACCAAACGTACTCCTCTTCCCATATGGCAAGGCGAATCTTCAATAGTGAAATAATAGCTAATATTATTGAAATGTGTACTTATAATATTATCATATACATTATCATCTGACATTCCACCAATAAACATACGTGTGTACTGATTGTTTCGAATTTGTCGACCTGATTAGGGGAGTAGGCAGAGCCGGTCCTGGGCACAGACAAATGAGGCCCGTGCCTCAAGTCCAAACCCACAAAGGGTCTATTTTGGCCCAAAGTTTTTATTTTTTATATTTTTTATATTGAAAGAAAGAAAATAGTTTTTTCATTAATTTTGAGATGATTAAGATATTTGTTTGTTGTTTTAATTTTAAGTTTTAAGTTAATAATGTGTTGCATAATATATCGTCGAATTTTGCATTTACGTTCATTTTGGAGGGCCTAATTTTTGGACTTCGCCTCGGACCCCGACAATCACATGACCGGCCCTGGGAGTAGGTGACGCACAATTCATCTCTCATGAATTTTAGAAGTGTGTTATATTTTGTTAGAAATATTAGTAGACGAGGAACTCTAAACAGATTACAATTCTCTCAAAAATAAAGAGAGTTCAGCTGCAGTTATTATACTCCACCGCACCCTCGTTCTGTTATGACTTCCTCACCAGCCAAGGTGATCATCCTCTAAAATGGCTCCATCTTCACCCACAAATTCTAATGGGTAAATGCAGAAATTCCGTTATTTCGTCATATACTGTAGATTGGATTTTTCCATTTCTATAAACCATAGAGCCCATGTATGTGAGAAAATATTTGATTTTTTTAAGTTCTGATGGTACGTCGGGTTTTTCTCCTTGAGTTTGTTTATTTCGGTTTGATGATTTTGTCCACCGTATGCGCAAAAGGGTATATCTGTTGTTATTCTCGGAAAAAAATGGATTGTTTTCATGTTTTCGATTGTTTCTAAATTGGGATTAAGTTAGTAGTGTTGTAATTGTAATGATGCTTT